GGCATTAATGTTGTGTGTGTTGAACTGCAGGTCAGACAGTCAGCTCTTCTCTATTAATTTGACTCCACTAAACTTAATGGAGCCAAAATAATTCAAAACAGTGGATAATCTGTTTGCAGTCACTTACTCTGCCCCTCAGTGCTGAGTATTTATTTGCTTTTCTATGCAATTATCTTCATATGCATAATGGCATACTTCAAGCACTGATCTCAGTATATCACCTTGCCCTTCACTTACACACTTTTACCACTTACAAAAGATTTGGTTGATAGAAAAAACTTTCATTTTGTATTAAGCTCAAATTAAGCTACTTCCACAGTACTATGCAATTCCTTTAAGTCTTGTGTTTGTTTGTGTGCCGCATGTACTCATGACAAGCTAAGAAAATTCATCTGAAAACTCATCCAGTGCATGTCTTCGAGTCCAAAACTGTAGCACTGAGTAGAGCTGCCTGCTCAGGGAGGTTTTCAGGGCTCTTAACTATTAGATTCAGCACTGAATCTGGTATGAACAAGGTTTTCATTGGACTTTCTGGAGCTTTAAAGGCAGCACTTTCCAGAATCCAACCCTTCATCTCTTTCTTGAAAGCACACCCCGCAAACAGGTGGTAGGAACTCTTCGGAGCGAGTCAGTCGGGCTGTGCACATTTGTCTTTCCCACAGAAAAGGCTAAACATGCAACGTAGAAACCCAGCAGAAGCTGGGAGGCAATGTGCTGTCATTGCTCCTTGGCAATAACTCAGCTCTAGGAATGTGGCTTCTGTACAACTGATTTCTCAATGCTGTGCCAGCCTGGCTGTGCTGCTGCAAGCTGTGCCATCTTTGGCAGCCACTGTCCAAGTGGGACACAACAGGCAGGTGTTCCCATGTCAGGATCCATTATGATGAAGGGATTTCTGAGCAGGCAGAAATGTAAATGGCGTTCCTCACAGTCTCACATGTATTCCTGCTGCTGTGAGCTCTGCATGCCCCAGTGTGATCTGTGTCCCACGCTGTCAAATGCACACTGAAGACACGAAGAGCGCTCAGGTAAATCTGCACTTCAGATGGACTTTACTGAAGGTGCAGTTATGGCAGCCTTGCAGCAGAAAGAAAGGAGCAGAAAGGGTCGGTGTTTACCTCCCTCCTTTCCTTCTGGATGAAAAATCTATTACTTTTTCAAAGTTTGAGTGCAAAGAAAATAGCTTCAGTGTGTTATTGGTTAAAGCAGGTATAGATTATCAGCAACCCCTTTGGTTTGTGACACACAGATGCTAAAGAAGAAACAACTCTCTATGAAACTTTACAAGAAAGTTTCTCCTTCCTGCTTTCACCTCTGATGGAGAGGTACCGACTAGGGCAGCAGCTCTGTAACTCATAAATTAGCTTCCTCGCTGCTTGACGCTTTTAATATGTTTCACAAGGGTTGAGCACTCTAATTCCTCTGTTCCACAGGTTTCTGTGAGCTCAGTCAAAGCCTTTAAGCACTCGAAATACAGCAAAATGTAAGTTCTACAGGTTGCAGACTAACCTATAAATTCCTAATAGGGTTGTTCAGTAACTTCATCATGCACTTGAAAGACAATTTTCACAGCCTAATGTGTGTCAGTAGCCTCTACCTATCCTATTGCAAATATAATTGTTCAAACAGGATGAAAAAAAAACAGTAAATCCATGATAGTGGAGAAATTTAGAAGAGAGAATTTTTAACAGGCTGAAGTTCTGAGTTTAAAATGTCTTCTACACTAATAAAATGGTACTCTGCAAAGATGTCTGAAAGTAAACTGAAGCTCCTCTGGCTTATTTCAGATCTCTGCTGATGCTGCTTGTGAAATACAGTCAAGTTTCTAAGTACAGACTTTTAATTTGATAAATTATTTTTATTCCATCCAGACTGTAAATTATCTTCCAAATCGTGCACTAATGTTAATGATGGGATGCAGAGCTGCTTTGTGACAACATCCGCGGGTCTGTCGTGGGCAGACAGATCTAACTGCTCTCGGACAGCTCCTGCGCTGTTCTCCGTAGCCTTTCTTCCTGAAGTAAAAGCTGTTGTGTTCAGCAGGTGGCAGCAGCTGCTTACGGGTCAGTGTGGGCTCCGCAGTAGCAGAAAGAGGTGCGCTGATGTCGAGGGTAAATCAGAGTCGTTCCTAGAGCCAGGAAAATGGTGTGTCTTGTCCCCAGAGCCAGCAAAGTGACAGCTCCAGCTCGAAGTCCATCTCTGGAAACACTGGGAAATGCTGTCTTCTCTTTAATGGAAGTTTATTTTTTCTCTCCTACCACTGCTGTCACAGACTGTGCTTTCTATTATTTCACTTTCTCATCTGTGCAGTTTAAATACATATGTGTATATGTACAGTATGTATGTATATATATATATGCAGTATGTATATGTACATACATAGTTTGTGTATAAAAGGCATAGCTTTTCTCCAAATTCTGCTAACTTAGATATCTGCTGTGACTCTTCAATGTCAGAGCAGTGTGGGATTTGCTGGTAGGAAGGACAAAAACACTCTGCCACACCACCTTTTTACCTCCAGGTGCTTGTCCTGCATCCCTCTGCTCTGCCCTCATATTAGTGGCCCCTCTGTAGCAAGAGCAAGTGGCTGTGTGATCTAAATTGCTCTTACTTATTTCACTATATTGCAAAAAGTACCAGCTGTTCAGTGCTTCTCTGTTATACAAAAGCAGAGGTGGAAGCTGTGAACCAGGCTGATACAAAGCACAGCATGAGGGTGAAAGCACAATGAAGCAGACTTTAAAAGTCAGCATCAGGTGATCCTATTTTGCACGTATTCCCAAGCAGAGCTGTTGGGGAACTGCTCTCCAGGCTCAGCAGAACGCCCGCGAAGAGTAGATGTAAGGGGTTTGCCCTCTGCTCTGGGATGTTGGTTTTGCTCAACAGGGTGGACTGTGCATGGATGCAGAGCGTGAGCCCAGAGAAAACTGAGCAATAACTCCTTGTCATGTGGCATGGAGTGCCAAAGAGGACAAATGCTTTAATTGAGTCTTGATAAAGAAGTAATTCTGTTAATGCAGGGGATAAGCTTTTATCCTTAAATAAGTGCTTTCTATTTTGCTGTGGGTGCATAGAGAAAAGACAGCTCACCTCTACTGTTAGCATTAACGTGGGAATTGGTCACAAGCCCTGTAGATACAAGAAAGTTAGAAAGTCATCTTCACTAAACCCTTTGATCTTGCATTGCTATAGATGGATGTTTTGGATTAATTCCTTTACGTGATCTCCATAATTAAAAGAAGAGGTGTTGGCACTGATTTTTCATAACTCCCCACTTTTAGAGCAGGTTGCCTTAGTTACAGTGGCCAGCTGAAGAGGCAGCAAGTTCACTACTAATGCACTTTGAAAGGCTTGCAGTTTCTGTAAAATCTGTGTCATGTTATGCTACCACATATGCTTTCATTACAGCTCTAATGCACTACGGTGCTGGTAGTCAAGTTATATCAGAGGTGAAGCCTCACATGCCAGAGCAAAGCTTTGGGTCATTATCTTACTAACTGTCCTGCAAACACTGAGAGACACACTGTGAAATTTCCTTGTGATTGAGAATGAGACCACCTTCAAGTGGCTCCAAAACGCGGTGTGTGAAAGCAATCTGCTCACAGTCTGGGTCGTACTTTCTCCAATAGAAAATGGATAGGTCTTGGCCTCTTGAATGGTGATTCAATATTTCCCTAAGAAAACAGAAGGAAACTGTTATTCTTTAAACGGTAGGACACAGAGTTCTGCTTTCATGGAAGCATCTTCTTCACAAAGCAGCAGCTGCTGACTATGTTGCAGGACTGGAAATGCTCTTTTCATTTGTACAGAGAGTTCTCTTATTATGCTTTAATTTGAGCACAGTTTTGGGGGTTTTTTTTGTGATCAACGGTGTGAAGACTAAGAAAAAAAGACACCATAATTTATGAAATTGGCCAATATGTTTTTCATACTCATAAAGATGCCACCTTCAGGTACATCTTAACTGTTTGTAGCTGAGTTTGGGCTGAATATTTCCAGCTCCCATTTTGAAGCTGCCTCTCCAAGTTGCAAGGCTTTGCTGCCCGCTGCACAGAATACTTGTTGATTCTGATTTGCCTCTGCAGCATCCCAGGAGGAACGTGTCCCCCCTCATGCAGTGAGGGGGCTGTATCTGAAAGTACCTGGCAACAGCAGATGTCGCACGTCAGTTTGTCAAATGTGAGGCATTTGAAGCCCGATTTTTTTCAGCTGCCTGAACTGATTTCCATCAGAGATCAGCCATGTGCAATGAGTAACATACAAATGAGGATCACTTGCAGTACTGCTTGATTTTTAACTGACCCACAATTAACAAATCCTATGGGGACTGAACCTCGTTCTCCCCAGTCACGGTTAGCTTCCTTTTCTCGAAGGTTTCTGTGTGGCTCCTCATTTGTTGCCTTGTGCAGCCGCTGTGAAAAAGGAGCCACAATAAAAGCTGGCACCACACACTGATGTTCTCGGCTCATCTGCTGAACAAAGAGGAGCCTCTGCCTGACGGGAAAAACAGCAGTGGAAAACACAATGTGGAATTGTACAGTTACAATGTCTCCTGGAGCCTGTGCAGAAATATACAGCATCGCTATTCCTGAAAGTAAAAGCATGTGCAAAGCTGATAGATGGTTCCCAAACGACACTGCATTCCCTAACGCGTAATTCTCAGTGTTTAAAAATGCGACATCCCTGACGGCATCCCCCTCAGAACGAAAAGAGAGGGAGCACGGAGCGTTCCGACCCTTGCCAGCGTCAGAACCAACAGGTTGCTCCGCAGCACGGCTGCCTCCCGCACGGAGCATCCAGCGGCGGCTCGCGGTTACGCCAATGTGGGAGAAGAGGTCGGCGGTAACGGCTCGGGGCAGCTGCGCGGGGCTCCCGCTAGGGGGCGGCACAACGCGGCGCTCCCCGCGGCGCCGCGCAGGGGCCGGGCGGGCAGCAGGCGGCACGGGACGCGCCTCCCGCCGGGCGGGGGCAGCCGCCGCTTCTCCGCGGGATCTCCGCACTCGGCCGAGGGACCCCGCGGAGTCGGGGCTCAGCCATGGATCCCGCCGCCTCCCGCACAGCCGCCCCGCAGCGGGCGCTGCTCTCGTCCGCGGGTTGGGCGCTGCTGTGGCTCGGCCCCGTGTACCTGGCGGGGTACCTGGGGCTGAGCGGCAGCTGGCTGCTGCTGGGGCTGGCGCTGGCGCTGGGTTGGGCGCGCAACCGGCGGGGAAAGCGCGAGCGGCTGGCGGCAGCCTCGGTGCTGCTGGAGGACGAGCGGGAAGCGGTGCGGCGGGGCCTGGCCGCCCGGCACCTGCCGGCATGGGTGAGTGGGGCGGGCGGCGGGGACGGTCGCGCGGTTCCGAGTCCCGAGCTGGGAAAAGGGAGAGCTGAGCTGGAAGTTGTGCGATCGCTCCTGTAGTATCCCGGAGAAATCTTCCTCCTAAGATGCGCTGTTCCGGCTGTTGTAGATTAGGAGATGCTTTAGATAAAGTTTGCTACCTTTCCTTTCTCTCTCCTGCCGTTTGGAAAGAAGTAATACGTATATCTACGAGCACAACGCACTCTGCCTTTCTTGTTGGTGCGGAGAAGCAGCCCCTGTTTGTTCCTCATTGCCGGCCGTCCTCTAGGCTTTAACGCGAGTGAGTGTGACAGCCTGACAGTGCTTTCCGTGCAGTACCGCTGGCCGGCTGCTCGGTGCCCTGCTGCCTAATAGGAGAAGGATCGACCGTGTCTCTTAGCCATTTGCTCAGCGTCCATAAACGTGCCGGGGACTAAAAGGGAAACAGAGAGAGAGTATGAAAGAGCTGCATCTGTCGGAGCGCTCCGTGAAAGCACTGGCTGTCAGCGAAGCGCTTCGCGCAGCCTGCAGCCCTCGGTGCGCCTTCCTGCGGCCGGCAGCTGCGCGCCCGTGGGATGGAGCTCCCAGCTGAGTTCCTCCCGCTCCCAGCAGGGGCTGTTTCCCACCAGCCACAGGAGCCCGTCCGGCATGAAGGCTCTGCTAGTTCGCATCCGCAGTGCTTAAAACCCCCCGGAGCAGCAGAGCGCAGTGTGCTGGTTTTGGTGTTTATCAGCGTTGCCACATCTCCTCCTTTTGCTTTTCGTCGTTGATAAGTTCTGCTGAGTTTGGCGTTTGCTTGCATAGTGAGCTTAAACTCGGTGCTTTTTTTATATTTCACTTTTAATTTTCCTTCTGTTCCCTCCCTCAGTTCGATTTTCTGCTTCTTTCACCCCGTGTCAGTCCTGAAGGCTGTTCCTCACCTGCTGCCTATTCAGCTCATTGTGGTGTCATCTTTTTTTTTTTTAAATCTTTCATTTTGCCCTAAAGCATTCAATTGTAACAGCTCTAAAAATGTCCCATCTGTTCTTCTCTCCTGACGTGCAGAGGTGGGAGCAGGAATAAAACTCAGGTGGGAGCGCGAGTTGGAGCTGCAGTGTAATCTTAGAAAAGACACTGCTGGTGTGGAACGTTGGCAGCATCTTATGGGACAGGGGATGGGTAAATAGCTGTCCTCTCGGGTGCCCCATTTTACAGTGAGGATGGTCCATTCGGGAAGGAGTTAAGACTGATTCCAGAGAGGTGGTGGATGCCTGGAGATGCCCAAGGTCAGGCTGGATGGTGTTCTGAGCACCTGATGGAGCTGTAGGTGTAGCTGTAGGTGTCCCTGCTTATTGCAGGGGATTTGGACCAGATGGCCTTTAAAGGTCCCTTCAACTCAAACGGCTCTGTGACTCTATGATTCCACTTAGTTAAAAACTGTACTCTGCAAGAGCAGTGCAGGCTCAAGCTCTGTGCAGCATTGGGATCAGTTTTTAGGAGATGTGTTTGTATCACAGCCTTCCCTTTGGAGGAGACATGAGGGGGGTTTCCCTCATCTACTCAACCATCTGTTCCAGGGAATTTGCAGGGTTATTTTCCAAAAACCAGTATCTTGGCTGAAAGCAGATGGTGAGTTTGGAGTGGAAGCATTCCTGTGCTATACACTTACGTGGGCAGACTGTGCTTCCACAGGAAATCAGGTTGGAAATTGGCTTGTGTTCAGCAGTCTGGTCCCAGTACATCAAGATGTCAAACTGCTTGCGTGAGAAGTTGTTGGTATTAGAGGTAAAGAACAGCCTTTTTCTAAAGCATGGTCTGCCAATTCCTTCCTTGTGCAAAAGGCTTCTTTAGGCATTCTTTCTTCACCCCTGCACTGGGAGCTGAGAAACCCATCTCCTTAAAAACAAACAAAAAAAGGAAACAACAAAAGACAAGCAGCCCCTATGGATACATTCCTGTGTTGCATTTGAATGGTGCTGTTGTGTCTCACCTGAGTTTTGCTATTGCTGTGATGGTTGGTGTGGCCTGCTCCAGGGCAAGGTGGAGCCTTGCAGAAACCTACACTTCTCTTACTTGCTGGTAATCGGCCCTCACCTCCTATTTTTGATCTTCAAAGGTCTTTTCAAACGCTAAGTAATTTTTGAAGCATTCCTGAAATATTGGCAAGTAGCATGCCTGCTTTTGTAGGTGAGGAAAACTGATTTTTGATAGCATGCTTACTCAAGGTTATGGAGTAAGGTTTATTTTGGGACCATGTGAACTTGGCAGCTCTTGGTGGCTGGTTCGGGGCTTAGCAAGAAGGACTTTTTGCTTCTCTTATCCATGCTGTACCATGGCAAGCTTGAGAACATGACCCTGATCATAGAACCATAGGCTGGAAGGGACCTTAAAGATCGTCAGTCCTGCTGCAGTGATCTGGGGTGTGACACAGGTATGACACAGGTGACTCGTGGTGGCTGCTGTTTGGGGTTTGCCCTGGGCTGTTCAGTTTAGATGTCTATAGCTCAGTTACTTTTGTTTTGCTTTATTTTAAGGTGAGTCCAGCTGGAACATCCGTCTCATGGTTGGTGCTCCTGGGTACTGCTCCAGCCTAATGGCCACTGGCCTCACTTCTTGGATACTTTTTACAGCTGCACCTCTGGTAGCTCTGGCTCCAGTGAATAATTCTAGCAAAGTGTAGGGGTTTGTATTGTACTCCATTTAATGGTATGGGTCTCGCAGATGGGCTGTGACTTCCTTACTGGGATCTGGAGGCCTAAGTGGTGTCCTGAGTCCTGGTCTATTCTTTCTTTTGGATCACATCCCCTCTTCTGTCTGGAAGGCCGTTTGAAGGACAGCTTGCTGCACTACTTCCATCTCTGCTTTGCTATGCCCGTGACTGATCCAGGACAGTCCTGCAGATGCTGCAGAGCACTGTGGTGCTTATCAGTGCATTGGACTTGGGGACCAGCTGCCTTTGGGCCACCCTGTATTTGTGTATGCTGGCACAGGGTCATCTGGTGGGAGATGGAGGGCTGGCAGGTGAAGTGTAGGTCCCTGCATTCACATCACCCTCCTTCTTGTGAAATGTCAGCTGCGTTTTATCAGTATTGATTTTCCCTTCTGGTGCAATATCCTCACTTTATCATGCAAATAAAGCTGGGTAGGCTGACATTTCAGTGAGCTTGCATCTTGTTTAGTGGAAAAGTTGCTGTTCAGAGCATCAAAGGAAGTTGCTTGTAAACAATATGCCAATATCACTTTGATTTTTAAACAGAATAATTGGAGATCATTTGGAACGTTATTTGAGCAAGAGGAACAGGTTCTGAAATCACACATCAGGCTAGAAAAAAAGGCAAACTACTGTCAGTTCATAAGATTCTATCATAAAATCTCAGGGTTGGAGGGGACTGCAGAGCCCACCCAGTGCCAACCCCCTGCCATGGGCTGGTTGCCACCCAGTAGCTCAGGCTGCACAGGGCCCCATCCAACCTGGCCTTGATCATCTTCAGGGATGGGGCACCCACAGGTCCTTTGGGCAGCTGTGCCTCGTCACCCTGAGTGAAAAATTTCCAACTAATATATAAAGCTACATCTGGCCTCTGTTAGTTTGAAACCATTTCTCCTTGTCCTGTCATTATCTGCAAATATCTTCTGTTTCATCCAAACATCCCTGCTGCTGAATTACACAAAAAGCCCTTGACTGAAGAGTGTAGCTTACAGCTCTTGTATGTGGAGGTAATGTGTTGTCCTGCCCATCAGGCTAGATGACAGTGTAAGGAGTCACTTTCTGTTAGAGTGTCTGCGGAGCTGAGAAGCTGCCATCCTGTCCTTCCCTTCTGCAATACCCATCAGCCTGCAGCACTGGCAGAAAATACTACACCCAGAAGGATGAGTAGTAAGGCCTCGTGTTTTCAAATTGGGCATCAGTTGAATTTTCTAGACAGATTCTTGTTTTCCAAAGCACAGTGTCCTGATCAGGGTGAGCCCATGCAGGAAACAGAGCCCTCACATCTCATCATCTTGAAGGGAAGCAGCTTCTTGTGGCTTCCCATTGCATGACCAAGAGGGGTGAGAAATCCAGTGCTGCTTCATGAGGAACAGGATATGACACTTGCTTTAATCACATAAACATGCCCAGAGGCATACTGGTGCATCAACACACCTGTCTGCTTTTGCCTTTTACAATTTAGTAGTTTTTCTACTACTGTATAGAAACAATAAATGGTAAAAGTTGTGTGTATGAGAGCAGAGGGATCTCAGATTACCACACTCTGTGGTATCTTTGGCATGTGACACAATATGCCAAAACAGATTGCATGTGGCATTCACTTTGTTTTTCTCTGCCTCCAGGTCCATTTCCCTGATGTTGAGCGAGTGGAGTGGCTGAACAAGGTGAGGAGCTTTGAACTCCAGTCTGTGAGGCTGTGTGCCCTGAGCTGAATCCCAGCACAAGCTCTAAGCCTAAGAAGATTAGTAAGTCACTATAACAAGGTTCAGTCACAGCAGCGTCTGTATTTAAGTTTTGGAGCTTCTAGAGTTGTTACAAGTCTTGGTGAGAGCCAGATGTGTGACCTGGCTGATGCAGATGTGATGAATTTGACCACACAGCTTCATTCTGAGATTTTAAAACCAAAAATCTATGTGCACATGTGTACACATGCACGTATGTGTTTGTGGCTGTACTATTATTTTAGCAAAAGCAGTAGTAGGTATTTCCTTTTGCCAGTGATGCTCTCAGAGCAGGCGCTCCCATCAGCAGTTAAAATCTGGCTCTCCCTGGAACTGGGCTCTGAAACACAAAGCAAAACAGCTCAACTTACACCTTAGTAACTATCTTGTTTTTGTTTGAGAAACTTTCTTTTGAAGTAAAAGCTCAACTCTCTCCTCTTCAAATAAACCTCCAGGGAACTTTGTGACACTTACCAGTAATTAGAGACTGCTGTGCTTTAGAAACTTTAACCCTGGGCTTTGCTGGCTCAGCCAATGTGATTAGAAGCAGTCAACAGACTCCATAAGGTTGAAAACTCAGTATTCACTTCCTAAAGCAGTTTCCTTTTCTGAGGAGCTGGGATGGATATTTCCATAAGAAGTGGCTTAAGAGCACAAATGTGCACTTCCTATTTGTTAAGGGCAGGCATGCATTAGTTGTCACATGTTCAGTAATCTGCATCTATTTCTTGACTAAAGATGTACGAATGACACTTTATATAAGATGTTTTGCTTTTGCTGTTCCGTAGGTCCTTGAACAGGCTTGGCCTTACTTTGGGACAATCATGGAAAAAACATTTAAAGAAGTTGTGGAACCAAAAATTAGAGCAAAGAGTGTACATCTGAAAACATGCACCTTTACCAAGATCCAGTTTGGTGAGAAGGTAGTGTGAATGCTTTGCAACACTTGTACTTTGGTTTCTGTGAAAAATTCAGATGAAAAGGGGAGAACATTTGTTTGGGACTCTGAGGTTCAGCTCTTTAACAGCTCTGTGCATTTAATAAGTGGCACTGTTACGGTGCTGCTGCTTCCTTTGTCCTTCCTCACGTTGACTTGAGCATCTTTACAGTGAAAGAAAGATGATAGAAGAGACACATACATCTCTTGTCACCGTCAATGTCATGCAACTGGAAATAGCAAAAAGAGGCATGTCTGCATTTCTTACAGAAGGAAGTTTCAGTGCTTCCTAAGACTTGTAGCATGAACCACTCACAACCAGCCCTATATCTGGGGGCTGTTCACATTAGGTCTTTAAGACAAAAACTTGTGTGCCTTACTCATGCTTTACATGCAGCTCTTCAAAGTCTTTATTGAACACTACTGTAGTTGAAATGAGTGAACTGGGTAGGTCTCTTCACTTGGACTTCAAGTAATAGATATTAACTATATAATATCTCGTCTGTCTTTGTTTTAGTGCCCTAGAATCAACGGAGTAAAAGTCTACACCAAAGAAATTGATAGAAGACAAGTTATCCTAGACCTGCAGATATGGTAACATAGCATCATTGATTATGCCTTAATTCACTGTCCATCCAGCAAAATGTGTGTGGTTTGTCGTGCTAGACTGAACACATGGTTCTCTAGCATCAGCGTGGAGTTGCTTGCCTGATATCAGCCTAGAGTGATATGAGTGAATCAGTTCCCAGTTGGATGTTATTTGCAGAAGTGAGATGTTGTGCGTTAGCCTTTAAGTCAGAGCATGCTATCACCTGCACAGATACAGGTGTTAGCTGTGCTGGCCTACCATTGCTGTCATGATTGTGGAGTTGCGTCCCTTGTTTTCTCCATCACAACAGAAAGAATCTGAGTCTTGGAACTGCTTTTCTGTCAGTTGCACCCATGTAGTTTCTCTTCAATCCAACCTCTCCAGTTCTTGCGGAACTACTTACACTATTTATTTTTTCATTCTTTCCCCTAAATTAGTCCTCTCGTTTTAATCACTATGTGCATGTGCCAGCCAGTGTGTTTTGTTTTTTTTTCTTTTTAAAATTAAAGCTGTTCTTTAGTAGAAAACTGTCTCTAACTCTATTAACAGCAACAAAAAAATTAGATAAAACATTTGTTGATTCCTTCCAGGCTGATTTGAATGAGCTTGTGTGTTTCATTAACTTTGAGCAGAACTAAACCCTCCTCTGGTTTTGCCTGGAGAATGGAATGAGTGGGGGAATTACCACTTGAATGCTGCTATGGTTCTGTGGTGGGTGAATGGGCCACCCAATATAAATGGCTTTTCTTCATGGTAGTACCAGGAAAAAGCAGTGTAAAACTGCAGATTGTCTTGGCAGCAGCACAGAGCAGGCAGTGGCATGGTAGCATCCCCATCCTTGGCAGGGCACTCTCTCTCCCTGCAAGACAATATATTTCATTTTCAGCCATGTTGTACTTCAGCACAGTCTGCAAAGTGCTCTTTGTAACAGCCAGACCAGTTTTAGGGCCTGTGGCAAATCAATCATGCTTTCCACACAGAGATCGAGGGTTTTGATGCCTTGAAGGCTCTGTGGGAGGTAGATACTGTTCTCTATTGAACTACTTCTCCAGGCTGCTTCTCCCACATACTTATTTTCACTGCCTTAACAATGAGTTATAGAGGGATTCCCCCACCTCCTCATTCCTGTCCTTTTGGCAGACCCATCAGCATCTCCAGACTGGCCTCTCGCTTCTGTTCCTCCTTGTGACAGTAATTTAGCTTGAACTGTCATCTGATAACCCAGGTATTTCGTGTATTCACACAAGAGCCTTCAGCATGCCTTGTCTCTCTGATGGCGAACTCTTCTTCTAGGCTGTTCAGAGAACCTTGTTTCTCCTATGTTAATATTCTGACTTCAGCTTCTGCAAGTGACCAAGGTGCTGTGCATTGTACAGTTGCTGCAGGAGATAGTGCATCACTTGCAGGAATGGTAAAAAGCAAATCCATGGGCAGTGATGGTTATTTACCTGCTTTTTTCAGGTTGCTAAAGGAACAAGTTTGGGGTGTGTTTTTCTTTTTTCTTCTCTTCTTTTTTTTTCACCTTTCCTTAATCAAAGAAAGGGGCAACCTCTACTTTTCCGGAGTGAGGCAAACTCCCATTGCAAAACAGTCTCTCTTAGGTATGTGAATAGCTTTGTGTGTCTGCGCTAATGCAGCTGGTGCTGGGAGAAGAGCTGGTTAGAGGAGATGGACTTGAGCTGCCCCAATGGGAGGCTGCAGCTCTTGGCACTACCTCTCCTTGCATGCTGGTGAGTCAGGTTTGAGTGGCTGATTATACCCACAGCTGCCTGGCACGTGTGTCTGTGCAGTCTTGTCTCTGTGGCTGCTCACAGAGAGCTGATGACTGTGTAAGAGGGTTCCATGAGAATTTCCACATGTTGCTGTGGCTACTACTCAGATTGGAAATAAGCCTCAACAAAAGCAGGAACAGCGTGGATGCTCACAATCTAAATAGATGAGTGTTATCTGTACTGATGTGGAAACGTGTCTGACCAACTCATTAGTGATCTCAGACACCTGTAGATTATCTCATGGATTTGTATTTGTTCAGGCAGCCAGTTTTGCTGGTGACAGTTCTTTTTTGCTGCTCTCTTCCCAATTAATATTTGACGGGAGGCATCACAATTTTTCTTAATCAATGCTCCCAGCTCAATAATTAAAATTAAAATTAAATTATGACTTCCCACTGATGAAGAGAAAGCACTTTGTCTTAATTATTTTCTAGGTGAAGGGTGCATGGGGATAAAGTTATACATCAGTGACCTCATTTTCATGTAGAGAAGCCTTCTGAGCAGTGCTAACAGCAGAGCTCTCTATTCTCACCTGGCCCTGCTTCCTTTCTCATTTTCCCTCTAAGGGCAAAGGTGAGATATAAGTGGCTGGGTCTGCCCGCAGAGCTGAGTCCTGGTGTAACAACTCAGGAGGATGGAGTAATTGCTGTGGTGTTGCTGTAGTGCACTTTGCAGTGCTGAGACTAAATTCCCTTTTGGGTTTTGGACAAGTGTTGCTGTGTTGCAGTGAACACTATAGAACTGACGTGTCTGCATATTAGTAGCATGACTCCTTGGTGTTTGACGGGTGTAATTTTGTGGGAGTTTCCTCACTAGTGAATCCACGTGAACTTGATCTGCTGTTTGGCTCATCGCTGTCTGCAGTGCTAATTGGGATGGCCACAATTGGGAAGGCTGAGCTGCTGCATCATAGCAGGTGTTGTTATGTTGTGGATGGCCTCTGCCCTGCTCAGGTGTTAAATAACACTTTGTATCAGGTAGCATCCAGAGATCTCAGCACACTCAGTAATTGTAACAGTGCAGGGACATCTTGTGGCATCCCTGCCTTAAGCCTGTGGGATTACCATTGCATCTCAGGCTGAATATAAGGAAAAATCTCTCCTCTGAAAGAGTAGAGGCACTGAAGTGGTTAGGCATTGAATGGGCTGCCCAGAAAGGTGGCGGAGTGACTGTCCCTGGAGGTGTTCAAGAAACATGTAGATATCTCACTGAGGGACATGTTTAGTGGGCACAGGGAAGATGGGTTGATGGTTGGACCAGATATCTTAAAAGTCTTTTCCAACCACAGCAATTCTATTTTCAACATCATGGGCCCAGCTTTTCCAGATGGATGCAGGTGAGACATGGATAAGCATGCTTCCACAAGCTTATCTTCAATCTTCATCCATTGCATAGGTGTGCTGTCCATATTTCCTTGTGCAGTAATATGATTTAGGACAGAAACAAGTTCTTTTTCCACCCCTGATGTGCAGGCAAAGCATGGTCCTGTGGATGCCAGCAGAGGGGCTCAGCTCTATATGCATATGAGCATCAAGACTTGGAGCCCAGCAGCTCAGCTCAGGCATTCTCTGTCTAGGGGAGAAGAGCAGGGAGCACAGCAAGCTTACACAGCAGAGGGGCATGTGAAAGCATAAGCAACTTGAACTGGAAATGAGGAGTAGAACTAATGAGTAGAGTGCATCCTTCCTACTGGGCAGCCTAGAGTGGGAGTGGTGCCTGTTTGAAGCAGACCTGAGAGTGATTAAAGACTTAGGCTTTGATAAAAGGGGCAAAGGCAGCTTTGACATCTAGACTTGAAAACCAGATTGCACGTATTGACATGTTACAAGGGAAGGCAGGTATCTAGAACTGGGTGGGAAGAGTTTTTGACAGTGGAGAGGCGTTAGGATTGTAAAATGAGACACCACTAGTGTTGTTTGCTGTGTTGGACACTGGCAACGGCTGAATTAAATCCTCTTGGACTAATTAATGCAAATCAAGGGACTCGTTTTGGCTTCTCATTTAGACTTTATATTGACAAGGCTCTGTTAGCAACCAGTGTAATGAACTGTAAGATAATGTCAAAATTGTAGAGATTAATACACGTTAAAATAAGTTTTCTTAATTATATGTCTAGCCTGCAGGGAAGATTGTGTTAATTTTGACATGGCCTGTGAGGCTGGCTACTGAAGAAATGAGAAATGCTCTAACATTAAAGGCTTTAATCTGAGCATTATAAACTTCCTATATTCTGCTAAATGACTCTTAAAAAAAAATTCAGGAACTTTGTTTGCAGAAATGGAGACAAATTCAAGTTGTGCATTCTTGGCAAGATTTTTATTTTGGGGGGATGGAGGTAATCTGTCTATGTGCAAATTGCAGTGTGAATTAGTGGTAACTTCACTGTTTGTCCATCTGCCTGTGGTCAGAGCAAAAACAAATCTTCCTTTGATTGTGGGCTGAAGGTAAGCACAGGGGCAGCAAGCACTTGCTTTGGTATCTTTCATTCTGCTTTGCCTGCAGTGTGTTTGTGTGTCTGCACCCAAAAAGAGCTGTTTCTCAGAGGACTGGAAGGGAACTTGGTAGCTCTTAATTGTTTTCTGCCAGAGGCATCAACAAATCAGTGGGTTCTGCCTCAGGGGAGTGGCTACTGCTTTTAGCATGAGATGATGTTTGTACTTTAAAGTCTAAGGTGATTTCTAAATTATGAAAGTGCCACTCTTGGCATTTATTTTATTTAAGGCCTGATGTTCTCCATGACTAAGATCTCATCGTAAATCATTGATTTTTAATTCAGCTTCAGGGAAACCATATTATTTTTAGTGATGTGTATGTCCTTCAGATGGGCATTTAGGCTGTGGGCAAGGGTGAAGTATAAAATCCAGCACCCATTGGTGATGGTAAGATGGGTGGTGATGGGTCACCATGCTGTGCTATGGGATCAGCGGAGCAAGAGGGCTATTGCCATGGCTTTGAATTTCCAGTGAGCCAGTTGTTTCCCTGCTAGCAGCAAGCTGCCCCAGCCAACTGCCATTCTTAAGAATGAGATAGTAACCTTGAAATACAAATGTCAAACGCTTTGACATTTTGCAGGCAATCAATATCCTAGCTGACCGCAGGGTTTCTGTTGTGAGGATCTTACCCTTGCTTAATGTGCTCAACTTAACCTTTTCAGTTTCTCTGCCTGGGGTGTCATGTTGCAATTGTTAATCTCCTTTCTACTCTGTACAGCCCAAATTTGCTCACTCAACTATTGCAAACTGTGGAATAATGTGAGAACTTTCTTTCAGTTATGTAGGAGACTGCGAGATTCACATGGACATATCGAAATTTAATCTTGGGGTGAAAGGTGTACAGGTGAGTGCAGTGCTGCTCCTGGCTTGGGATGGATGGTTTTATCTCCTTGTATTTTGGCTTCGGAAATAATGTCTTCCTTGCAGAGCACCTAAATATTATTTTAAGCTTCTTAGTCTTAGACAGGTTCAGTGCTAGAGCATCAAGCTCATGTGGGCCAGCTTCTGCCACTGGAGTTTGGAGGAGCCGCATGTCAGTAGAGAACCTCAAAAGAGAGAGTTCTGTTGGGGCATTTGTGAGTGTCTTCTATTAGACCTACAGCCTGTTCTTATAGTATTGAAAGCAGTAGGACAGCATTACATGGCAGTCAGGATGGCAGAGAGACCCTGTGAAATTAGAAAACATCACCTGGTAACAGTAACAATAGTCTGGAGGGAAAGGAGGTTATTGCTGTCAAATTCTAAGTAATTTGAAGTTATTTGAAGTGGGATTTTAAAATACATTTACTTCATTGAAAAACTGAGTTTTGAAACTGTAGCTGAGCATATCTTCAAAGGGTTTTCCTTGATCTGTTGTATTTGCAGTTGTATGGGACTTTGCGAGTGATACTGGAACCTCTTCTCACTGATGCCCCTTTCATTGGAGCAGTGACATTGTTTTTTATGCAGAAACCGGTGAGTCAGAAGGGAACTGTGCTCTGCAGCCTTCTTGGCTCTGGGACAGCTTTAATATATGGATGGTCTGTGGTGAATGCCACGAGCTGTCCATTACTGGTAACCCAGCCTGCATAACTCTGAATATCTTGCAGTGCAGGTGTTTGAACAGCAAATGTCTGATTACTAAATGCTCATCTTCAATTCCAAGGGGAAGGAAATGTGTTTGTCTCACTCTCTTGCAGTAATGCCTAAAGAGTTGTTTGCTTCCGTCTGAGAAGGGGAGGAATTTCCAATGGTAACAGCACAGGAGCCATTTCATAGGCTTTTAGATGCATTTTAAATCATTCAAGTCATGAATTTTATGTGTAGTAGCATTGTTTTCATTCATGAAAAACTTAATTTCTCTTCATACAATAAACAAGAGATTCCTGAAATCTGTGTTTGTAAATCCCCCTGCCTGAGAGCACAGGCCAACCTCCAAGTGAAAGGGTGAGGAAACAACTTCAAAGTCTAGGGAGAGCTGCTGGATTTACTGTGCATGACCTTGGGGCATCTGCCAATGGCCACTGCCAAGGGCTGACTGCTGTGTTCTCCTTGCTTGCAGGATAAGCCCCAGTGATCCCTTAATTTCAGGTAGGACAAGTGAGGGAATTGCTATCAGCTGTTTATTTTAATGTATAAATACAATCATTTACTAGTGCAGGTATGGCCTTTTTTAAACAGTCAGCTCTGTTTTAGAAACATTTGCTTCTCCTTTAAAGTCAGCATTTGTCCTGAACTAACTTTTAATGGTCCTGTATCATTTCTCTGCCTTTGTTGTAGCACTTGGAATTCAACTGGGCAGGAATGAGCAACCTCCTGGATGTCCCAGGAATTAAGTGAGTGTCTGTTTTGTTTCATTTTATCCCTTTTGAAAAGGGTTTGGGAATTGGGAAAACTTTTTCCAGAAGTTATTCTCAAGAGCGATATGTAGAAGTTGTTATGCTGATATGCCATCATCCTATCTGGCTGTGGGGTTGGCAAACCCTGAGTAGGATGCTCTTGTATCATGTCAAAATTGATTTAATCACTTCACTTTGGCATTTAGGGTGACAGTAGGCCACTCTACTTTGGAAAAAGCAAACTTTTTCTCTTCTGCTTCTTTGTGGCAGTTGCTTATAAAGATAGTTGAGCAGATCTGGGTATTGGTTATCTGTGCTTATGTTTGGTTACCATACAGTGGAAAAAGTTCAGGTGTCACAGGGCTGCAGCCCTCTGACAAACTGAAATCTAGTCCATGATAGTGAAAACTGCAGCATATTCAAAGGAGAAATATTCTTGTACTTCAAGAAACCCAACTGTTCCCCAGTGCCTCTTGGGGCCTCTTTGACCTTGTAAATAAGGCTTGCACAGCAAGGGTGTAAATCTAATCAGTTTTCAATACTGTAAGCTTTAATCTGCTCCACCAGATTGGAGATCTGCTTTTTCCTTGTTTTTTTCAGTGTAAGGAGAAAACTCTGTTGTCAGGAACAAAATACACAGTGGTTAATCAGCCACTGCCTTTTTCTCTGTAAAAGCGAATGCAGGCAGTAATGTTCTGCTTTCTTCCACCACATGCTTTGCAGACTTATACTCAGCACAGGAAGTGACTGATTGCTTTAGGTGCCAGTTGATGCAATAAAGGATCTCTGAAGACTTTTGATGTTGAGTGAGAGGAAGGACTTTTTTCTTAATTTGAGTCCAGAGTGGCTTTTTGCCCTGAAGTTTGCCCTGAGAGCTCCAGTTTTTATCAGAGGAATTAATCTGCTCTTTTCTAATGCAACTTTCCTTAATCCTCCCAGAGAAGAAGTATGTAGGTGTTCCTGCCTACAACCTCTCATATAATTAAATACAAATTTGGTGTCCTAGATCTTCACTCTCTGGTTCTTTCACAGGGATTTGAACATAGAAAACCTTGCTCGCTCATCAACATAGCACATGAAAGCTATGAGCAAATCATGCCTGCTGTGAGGTTGAGTAAGAGCTCTCCCTTTCTTTATTCTCCTGCTTAGGAGACCAAAGATGCTGCACACAGGCATTTGTCTTCACAAACTAGCTGTGTGTAGTTTGGTGCTGTACCTTCAGACTCAAGAGAAGGGACAGTTTGTCACCTTGCCACAGGGAGGATTTTGTCAGGAGCTCCTATGCTCTGGCCAGGAGCTTTCAGGCTTCTGGTTGTGCACTGGGAGTGGGAGAGGCCATTTCTTCTCTATGAATCCAGCTCCTTCTATGAACTGCGACAATTTCATTGCGTGGTCCTCCCCTGAGAAGTTGCCTTGCAAGCACTAGATTTATCAAGGGAGCAAAAGACTTCCAGATGTTTGGTGCAGCCACATTTCCCTCTTACTTCTTCTGCTTCTTCTGAGTTGTAGGAGTAGGTTCAAGTCCTCTCATAATCACCCAGAGGGTACAGAAGGTCTGTGATAGCCGTGTACTCCTTGCTCAGAAGAAGCAGGTTGAATCAGTTTGTCCCTGCCATACAAACGTGGGAATTCCAAATAAAAGATTTTAAACTGAAAAGCTGGAAAGGAATAAGTGTTAGATTAGACTGGAATGTTCCCTAGAGTCCAAAATGGACAGCACCCTCAGTTCAGACAATCTCCAGTGTAATGAAGGTCCATCCCGTTACCTGAAATACCTGGAAATGTGATTTCCCTTCTTAATGCAAAATATATCGGGAACGTGAATCTCAACTTTTGTTTGATTCTGTGCCTTATTTTTTCTTTCTGATTGGGCTGGTGATTGGTTGTAGAGATTTGTTTGTTTTCCTTTTTCCTCTGTCCTGCAGTGTAATGTCTGACTCACTGATTCAAGATTACATTGCTGCACGGCTAGTTCTGCCAAACAGGATCACGGTGCCTTTGAAGAAGAACATGAGCATTGCCCAGTTGAGGTTCCCTATCCCACACGTGAGTTTTTCTTTTTTCATTGAGGATGTGATTCTACCTGAATGTGCATTTGCTGTAGTGCAAGTGCATGTACATCCATATGTTGGGTTCCTGCACATCCAGTTCTCAGCAGCTGTTTCAGCCTGTATCGTAGCCTTTCTGTAGGCAGTATTTCAGAAATATGCAAGTAAATATTGGCTAGCTCTTTAATTTTGAGGGGTGGGGAGTGCTTATATGTGGCATAAGAAGTCTGCTTAGACATGGAGACATTTACCAATTTAAACCAGTAGTCTAATTAGAAAACCACAGGTCTTCAATTAGAGAAAGTGAATACATGATCCATAAGTGGCAGGCTACTTAATTTCTTCAGTAATTCTGTGAACAGGTGTAAACACAGAGCTCAGAGGATGACATCTGTATGTTAAAGAAAAGAATTTTGAAAAAATCCCAAAACAGTAAATCCAACCCTAATCTCTGAAATATCTGATACATTCACATCTCTGATCTTCTCCTTCTGAGTACCTAAGATATATTAATTAATGCAGGCATTAATGAATGACTAAGGGCTGCTTCCTGTTGCAAACTTGCATCACTAAATTGAATTTGAATGGCCACACTGCATTCAAATAAGAACCTTCTGTTGGCTGCTTAGTTCCTCCTTAAGTCAGTGGGAATTGATCTTGATTCCACCATCAATTTGATTGTGATGTATGTTCCTGTGTGTATTTGTATGTTTCTGATTTTAAAATAAATTGAAGACTATTTCCTACCTAGCTATCTGGATGGGATTGTGTATCTGTGCAAATTCTCCCCCATGGTAAATGATAGGAAAAGTGATTGTTTTATTACATACTGCCTCAAAGTGCATATCTTTGCAAACCAGTCATTCTGACTAACCTTGCTGCCTGAAATAACAGTTTTAGGAGGCAGCACATTATAATTATCCAAATATCACATTTTCAAGACTGATTTTGTGTCTTTTTCTATGCAGGGAGTAATAAGGGTTCATCTGCTAGAAGCTGAAAACCTTGTCCAGAAAGATAATTTCCTTGGTGCAATCAGGGGGAAGTCTGACCCATACGCTCTTCTTCGGCTTGGCACGGTGCAGTATCGAAGCAAGACAATTTCCAGAGATCTTAATCCCATTTGGAATGAGACATTTGAGGTACTGAACCTTTTGATCTTTCCATCTCTAGGATGCACAGCTGTTTACATCCTCGTACTTGGAGGACCTTCTCTTACCTGACTGCAGTGGAGCAGGTGGAATTCCTTGTTGCTTCATTGATGAGGCATTCCTGTCCCTTAAACAAGTCAAATTTACATTGCAAACATGAAATGGCACTGAGGGTTAATCTGATTTTACATATGTGGGTGTTTGGAGGAGGTGCAAAGCATTGCCTTAAATATCAATCAGTGCAGCATTCTGATTGTGCAAGTGTCTTCTACTCTAGAATTGGTTTACTTTGTATATGGGATGTTTGTAGCTTTTTCTAATTTTGTGAGCAAAATTAACTGAGTTTAACTTTTAATTCAAAACCAAGCAAACTTCTTTTAAGATATTGTTATCATATCATATAGTATGATCAGCCACAAAACAGCAGGGAATTGTGCTTCACACATTACAGAACTGTGAACCTATGTGAGTGCTTATAATTTTTAATCAGTACCTGTTTCTTCTCCAGTTTGTTGTTCATGAAGTGCTTGGTCAGGACTTAGAAGTGGACTTGTATGATGCAGATCCAGATAAAGATGACTTCATGGGCAGGTAAAAGTGAGATTTTCTTCTGGTTGCTCTCTGAAGGGATGTAGTGATATGACAGATCTGCTCAACAGATTTGAGAAAACAGTTCTGAAGATTAAATCCTTTACTTCTTCATTGCTTTAGTCCTAGTTAATTGCAGTCTAACTGGAATGTTTTCTCTTTGTTCTGGTTAAGTTTTTTTGCAGTTTTGTAATGGAGAAATGTCCTTATAGCAACATTTGCTATCCATTTTCCATACAGAAAATGCAAATATGAAGTGATTGGCAGCCAGAGAACTGCCCTCATCATATCAGATGACAGACAGAAGAGGGGCACTGCTTCTTAAGCTATGGTTATCTCAAGTGGAACAGCTTCGGTGATGTTCTATGTATAACATTAGCACTTAGGGAAAGGCAGAGTTGGACATGATTTCCTTCCGAATGAGTACATCAGATCTTACTTCTTTGGACTTGCTGCTGTGTATGCATTTATTTGATTTTAAATAAATAAAACCCCCTAGAAACAAAGAAAACAATCCAGGCCTTGCAAAGTTATGGTAATCTCTGAAGTAGAACACCCAAGTAATTCACATAGGAAGCTTAATGTTGAAGGAGTCTACTTGCTCTGTCTCAATATTGACATCAGGTTATTAGCTCCTAGTGCAACCAGCTATGAACAGGGTGGATGGTGAGCTCAGACTCTTGCAGAAAATCTTTGGAAGCCATTAAAAGTGATGATTGCTGCTGGACTCAAGGTCTGTTTAAATTATATTTTAGTTTTGGAAGCATTTCAAGAGGGAGAAGGTACTGTAGAAGTGTGTGTTCCACTGTGTGCCTACAGATAAAGTGTGGAAGTTGCTCTTTGGGACAGATTTGGTTGTGGCTTTTTACTTACTAGTTGTGGTTGGTTTCTTTTATTTTTTTTTCCCCATTTGTCCACTAATCGACAGTACGCTGTGTGCCTGAACGTTCACTGAAACATTTGCTTTTTGTCTTCCAGCTTGCTTATAAGCCTTCTGGATATAAAGAATGACAAAACAGTTGATGAGGTAAAGATCACAGCTTGTTTTTCAATGTAGTTGTGTTGTATACTTACATGTATTCATTCATGCTTTGTGTATGCTACTGCATTGTTTCTGTGTGCTTGAAGCTTCCCTGCTTGCTTGCGCTGCCGTGTTTTCTTTTTGTGAAGTTCTCTTTGCTCAGAAAACTCGAAGTAGCCATTACAGTTGTTGTTCACAGTCCGTCTGGCAACCTCAGACAGCCCTGAGCTTATGCTGAACCAGCAGTGGAGTATCTTGTGTTAACAGCATGTACCCTGTGTCTATCACTTATTCCTCTGAGGCTACAGATCAGTTTGGTGAAGCAGTCTGATTGCTGAGGGAACAAATAATCAAGTCTTATTGTGGCTCATTCTGCAGCTCAGTGTTCTGCAAACAGTTCCGGAGTGCCTACTTCATACTGCTTCATACTGCTGCTGCTGCAGAATGTGCAGTATGTGCACTGCATGTTTGTGGAAATCTTGCTCTCAGTGTTTCTGGCTCATGTTCCCAAGTAGATGGACATTCTGCGATGTATATATCAAAAATTCAATTTAAGAAGTTTGAAGTACAATTCATATTGTTTATTGTATTTAAGTCCCAGAGGCTGAAATATATAGAAATTATCCTGTCTCAGTTTTCAAGTTGCTTTTTATTGTCTCCACTTAGTGGTTTCCCTTAAGCAAGACAACAAGTGGACACTTGCACTTAAAGCTGGAATGGCTTTCACTAGTAAATGACCAAGAAAAGCTATGTGAGGTGAGTATGCTTAAAGGATCCAGATACTTTGATGTTTGTCCAGTGATCAACAAAGAAGGATGAGAAATTGGGAACCTCAGGCAAATGCATGGGACTTTATTTTGTCTAACAAAGTGTAGACATGTTGGTGGTTTGGTTGTTTTGGTTTCTCCTGGGGAGGAAGGTGTTTACTTGCTTCAGGTCCCATGGCAATACAGCAGCAACTAAAATCTGTTAGCTGTTTTTACTTAAGTTAGTAAAGCTTTGTTTGGCTGACTGCAGAGTGACCTCTCACAGTTCTCTCCTTTGATTATTTTTCCCTTTCCTCTTCATCTAAAACTTATGTAGGATCCCAGCACTGTACACCTGTACTAGTCACAGCCAAATACCAGCACTGGTACTTGCTAGGGCCATCGTTACAAATGCTGTCATATTCAGTCTGCAGAATTCCTTGGATGCATCTTCCAAGGTCGCTGCTTTCTTCATAGTTAACCAAAAAGTATTGGAGTTCACTGAGATGAAAAACATTTCATTTTTCTCGAGGTTTTATTCTACTGATGCTAGATTAGTGATGACAGTGTATAGAGCTGAGCACAGGCTTAGATGACTTGCTGTCCTAGGGAATCTGACCAGTTCTGCACTAGATAAACTGAAGGTCATTAAGTGTGATGAATTGCAAAGACCTGGGCCTTTTCTTACTGGTCTGCTTAAAGCCCTCATGCTGTAGGGTATTGGCTTGTGCCAATACCCTGAATTCCAAGATTAAGGAGAAAGGCAAAGAGCTACTTAGCTTACAGAAACTTTCCTTTGAGTTTATCTTGTGCTGTACATTGTCCTTGGTGAATGATCATACCTGCTTTGTGTTTTGTTTTCTTCTATGTTTCTGGCCTTGGCAGGATAAGAAGGGCCTGTCTACAGCAATTCTGATAGTCTACTTGGACAGCGCTTTCAACCTCCCAGTAAGTACAAACCACATGCAGACAGCCTTCACTCCCAACCCCCCTTTTTTTAAAAAAGCACACAAATTAATTGTTTTAAAATACTCTTACAAATTCAGAAAAACCACTTCGAGTATTCAAATGGTGAATGTGGAGCAAAGAAGATCAAAAATAACAAGTACCTCAAGGTAAAATTTATGTTCTTCCTCCATGCTTTCCAAACCACCTTCTGGATTATATTGTATCATAGCAACTGAAAGTAGCTGTTATAAAGAAATAATCTTTCCACTGTCAGAATCTGTGACCACGGGTTCAAGGTAGTGATTGAGAAGCCTTGCACTAATAAGAGATGATCAAATGGGGATTGCAGCACAGAAATATTTGATTGTGTGTGGGATTTGATTGTATTAAGTTTATACATTGCAGAATGAAAGCCTCCAACATCAGACCAAGTCATGCTACCCTTCATGCTGCTTCAAGGGTTCTTCCCATCCCAAGCTGTTTCATTTTGCCCCACTAGGAGTAGAAGGGTGGGAGACCAAACCACCAGATTCCTTCTCTCTGTGTTTTAACCTCTGAATCCTCAGAGATTCGGAAGTCATTTTGTCATCCATGCCTCCCCTCTAAGTTTCTTTTTAACTCCCTAAATACTGGATCTTGCTGCTGTAGTGAGAACTGCAGATGTAGGAAAGAATGTCTTTCTCCCTGTTTTCTTGAACAAGCTGCACACCCCCACAGTTGTGAGCAGTGAATGAAGCTTCCCTCCCTTTCTAAATATGTTCTTTACATTTTCATGAGTTACCTATGTCGTGATACACATGGCATATGATAATCCTTAATTCTGAATTTTATTGTATACACTTTTCTTTGTTGTTTTGTTTTGTTTTGTTTTAGTGGCAAAACCATCTCCTTGGTTTTGGCAAAGCCTCTGTAGCATTAGTGTGAAGGAGCGTAGTACTCGAGGTTCAGTGTTGCTAATTCTGGGAAAGAATTTTTGCCTGGTTCATAGGCTCTCTTCTAGCTGCTGTGCAACATGTCCTGAGCCTAAGAAACCAATTCTGAGTGCCCTGTTTCATCACAGAATGATGAAAACTCCCCACTGGCCAACAAGCCTTCAGTACTTCTGTACCTGTTTCCTCGCAGCGTCTAATAAACATTCAGTTGCTCACCTATTGAAACCTAAACCCATAAAACTCTGGCTTAAATGTAATTTCTTGATGCCAGAGGGTAAGATTGCTGTGTTATGGCTGGAGTCTCTCCTGCATGTCATGCTCTTCAGATGTCCTACATATGAAAACTATTGCCAGCTTTCCAGTCATGTATTTCAAGTAAGAGTAGTGATTTGATCCTGCTTTCTGTAATCTATACATTGTTCTTTTTTTTTCTTCTTGTATTAAATGGCAGAAGACAGAACGAGAACCTTCCTCCTTTGTCCTGCTCACAGTAGGAAGCAAGACTCAAAAAAGCAAGGTAAGTTTGACTCTTCTGCTTTCCTTAAATATTTTTCAGGTGACGAACTCCAAGTAGCTCCTAGAACTGCCACCTTTTTTCTTTTGTTTTTGTTCACCCAGAAATTGGGTTCTGCTTGCTTTTTCACCTCTTTTGGTTTTCAGTTTTCTCTGCCACGCCTCCTGCCTCTTCCCAGTTAGGTCAGACTTCCAGTTTCCCCCACTCTTTTCCTCCTGCTGCCAGCACTTGTCACCTGGTAGAAGAAACTGTTGTATTGAGCAGCCTCAAGCAGAGCGCCATGGGTGTGCTCCTTTATCTTTTAAGTGGATGGCTCTGGAGCTGTAGCCTCCCACTCTTCCTACGAGCTCTACATCCTTCAAACTGCCCCTCTACCTTTCTTATCCTTCCTTGCTGTCATGCTGCAGGTTTATGAGCTGGCTCTGAGTGTCTGTGGGCTGGAAGCATTGCTCTGTCTCTCTGGGTAGAGAGGTGGGAGGAAGGAAGCAGTGCTTTGCTGCAGCTGAGGCAAGCTGCTGGTCCAGCCAACACCAACTTGGGCCAACTGCAGCTCACCTGACTTGTTCTGCAGCATTTCCACATCTCTCAGAGCTTGTTCTGGTTTTGCCAGAGACTCCACTTGTGCACACTTCAGACATGGGAATTTCATTCTCTGTGTATAGCTGGGATGTAGCATCACTCAATTAAAATAGATAAATATATCACTGCAACCCTCTCTAGTGATCAATGCCACAGTATTCTTTGTTGCTCACAGACCAAATTAAAAAATATATGCCATAATCTTCTTCTTGCAGACCTGCAATTTCAACAAAGATCCCAAGTGGGGCCAGGCTTTCACCTTCTTTGTCCACAGTGCTCATTCCCAATCACTGCATGTTGAGGTGAGAGAAAAGCCCTTCCTTTGGAAGCCTTTCATAGTGGATGTGATTTTGGTGCAGGTTCTTTTTGTCTGCATTTACTGGGGTCATCCTACTTAAAAGGTGGAAGGAGTGTGTGTTGTTGCGTGGACAGTTCTGTTAGGGGATGCTGTTATCTACCTTTGTGCTAGGGTCAAGTAATTAATAGTATCTTGGTACAAAACAAGGGATATTTCCTAAGTAAATAAGCTTATTTTGATCTGTATGGAATGCCTTCTTGTTTTGCTGTTCCTTGTAGTGTGCTTCCCAGTTTGTCACCTAATAAAACCTTTCTTTTCTAGATAAAAGACAAAGATCAGGATAGTTGTCTCGGAACATCAGTGGTATGTCTCTCCCACTTACTTAAGGACCCAAACATGACTCTGGATCAGAGATTTCAGTTGGACCATTCCAGTTCAGACAGCTTCATTAAAATTAAACTAGTGCTGCGGGTAAGTTGTTTGCTGTTTTCATTTGGCTTTCCCAGCAGAAAAGCTTCCAAATCTAGCCAAGCAAAAGATGAAATGCAGGAGAGAAGAAATGCAATTTTACTTCAAAAGTGAGTAAAGGTGAAGTGTGACAAGATCCTTAGCTGCAATTGATGGTGGAGATGAGAGCTCTGCCTTGAGGCTTCCCAAAGCTTAGTGCAGCAGCATTGCCAAGAACCTTCTCATGATGTTAAAGAGTGGAACTGAGAAAATCTGATTTGGGAAATCAAAACTGCACAGCAGTGAGAGGCTCTAGTGCTTAAGGATTGTTTTCTCACAGTGTTTACACAAGTAAATACACAGTGTGACAAAGGAAGACAATGTAATAGCTGGTTCCGTAGCCTTCTTTCATCTCTAAATGCAGTCTCCTGCTTTCTAAGTCGCATTGTAATGAAATTTAACACCAGCGTTTGAGCAGCAGTGCTCATTTTTTCTCCCTGGTGATTTTTAGGCCTTGAATGTTGAGGAACCTGATGCACAGAGAGTCAAGACTGGTGTCAGCGCCTCGAAGAAAGGTCCCATGCATGTCATGGAGAAAGGTGGAAACCAGCAGGAGTTTGTCTCCCCACCAAAACCAGAAGTCTCAAAAGTACCTCCTGTGAGCAAAGACACTGCTGTGCGGGAATCTCAGCCAAAAAAAGACAACAGTGAAGACCTGGACACAAGTAACAGTTCAGCAATGCCTGCAGCAAGTGAAACTGTTGCCAGTCTTGATGAGACAGAGAGTGACCAAGATCTGGAGCATCGTGTGCCATCAGCATTGCACACCAGGGCAGCAGTAGTGCCCACATTGCCAGTTGTAGAAGAACTGAGGCTTGCACCCAGTGTTACTTCACTGGGTTCTCTGCCTTCCTCTTGCTTTGAACTCAGTAGCAGCAATCTGGACCTTCATAAGTAGGTGGTTCTTCCAGTTGAATTGTTCTCTTCTTGAGAAAGTTTGTTTTTTGTAAGTGTCTCTTGCATACATGTGAATTCCAGGCTGTAGAATCAGCTTAATCTAATACTTTGTGACTGGTAAATTCTTTAGCTCTGAGCAAGACTTCATTTATAAACCATTGGTAAACCATTTTAAAATAATGTCTTGAATTTGAAACCACTTTGGAAACATGCAGAATGAGATGTAGAAAAGAACCCACTTTGCATATGTAAGCATCCATTAGTATGCAGACAGCATACAAAACACATGCTGATCTGTGCTTTGCTGCTCCATCTACAGCAGGCCAGTTGGGTGCTGTTCTCTGGCTACTTATACTTCGGGTCTGAGGACAAGGCTCTGTGCAGAAGGCAGACAGAGCTGGCACCAACAGGAGTGTTGTTTCTGTGGTCCAACTGCCATAAGATGTCATAAAGAGGAGCAGTGCACTGAGAATTGGTTCTAGTTGAAAATGCATCACCAACTTGTGGAGCTCATGTGTTGTTTCATGCTGTAAGGTTTATGCGTATGGTCTATTAGATACCTGTATCTAAAGCTTTTGCTGTGTTCCTGTCTTACAGTGGGACAGAAATGCCTCTGGGAGAGATTCAGCTCACAGTGCGCTATGCTTCCATACGGCAGAGCCTTGTTGTGCTGGTGAATGGCTGCAGGTAATGCTGGCAATTGCTTGCCTCTATATGCATGAAAGAGGGAAGGAGCTCTCTGAGCTTGTGTCAGGAAAGCTGGAGCAGAACCACATGAAGTGTAAGCTGCCCGGCCAAGGTGAATGCTATTGAGAACTGACACTTGTCCTGGGATGTCTGAAGGAGATTTAAGTGTCATGACAAGGACTGACACCTCTGATTGATGTTGTAAATGCCAATTTAGGAACCCATGAGTTCAGTAGTGGAATTTATCTTGTCATCCGTAAGATTTTAATTTGCTTATGTTTCAGCTCCCATGATAAATGCATTTAGCTCATGAATCCATGAAGGGTGGGTCTGATTTTAAGACAGGGAATTAAAATGCATACAGTGGGAGAAGCTGCCTTGCTTGTCAGCACTGTTTTTCTTTTAACAGAAACTTAATACCCTCTTCCAATCGTGGAGTGGATCCATATGTCCGTATATATCTGCTTCCAGATAGAAGATGGACAAGTAGGAAGAAGACTTCTGTTAAGAAAAAAACTCTGAACCCCCAGTATGATGAAAAGTAAGAAAACATTGATTATAATTCATGAATTATGTTACAATCTCTGTGAAGTGCAAGGGCTCACAGAAGGTGTGCACATGCTGCACTTTAATGATTGGTTTGTGAACATTTACAGGTCTTGGGAGAGAAATGGCACTGTATCTGTGTGTGCAAGTTCTTTAAATGGACTTTGCTCTGCATACAATACTGTCACATCTTCCCTCCTCCTTTCCTGACCTTAGCAGATGCACACTGCACTTTCTTCTTTGCACACAGACATTCCCTTCAACATATTTAACTCCATGTCACTGCAGAGGCAATCTTTCCATGTGAGTACCTCCAAAAGCCTACTTCTCTGTTCATACTTATTTGCTTGATGTTTCATCTGATGTCTTTTCAAAAGTCAAAGGCAGGCATATACAAAGCATTTTGAGACAGATGGATGCCATCACTGAGTGCTGCTGGGAGCAACTTAATGTGTTGCCACCTCTGTGCTGATAGCTGACACTTCTACAGGTTTGCCACTGAAGAGGAACGTGTTCTGTATAAAACTAATGGTAGTAGCACTAAATTAGAAGTAGAGTTTGTCTGAGAGGCAGTTCTAGTCCAGTATGTAAATGAAGGTACGCACTTGAATGTGATCCTGGGTAATTCAGCCTGTTCTCATGAACTGTACACGGTGCCAGCACTGGTGTTGGGAGCAGGATCCTCCTCCTCATCCCCAGTATTGGCATGTCCTGTACATCTTCAATTAAGTGTAATAGGTTGAGCAATACTTAGCTCCAAAACACATTACCTGTTTTACAACTCTGACTTGAGGAGGAACTATTCAGGTGGGCAGAACCTGAATGATTTAACATGGACAGAATTGACGTGACATTTGATGATGTGTGTCAGAGCCATGAGTCAGAGCCATGAAGAATTTAATTGCTACAGGTTTATTTCTTTGTCTTCTCTTAATGTGGTATAAGACTACTTTGTAAACTTGGGGGATTGGCTTGGCTATTTCCTCTGAGTAACAAAAGTTGAATGGAAAACATGCTGATCTCCCATGAAGGGTAAAAATGGTTGTTAAACAGCATTTCATCATGGATGCACGCTTTCCTTCATCCCCCTGGCATGGTCTGACCAGCAGGCTGTCATGGAAGAAGCTGACTTGGAAGAAATTTCTTACAATGTTAATAAACCCTAAATTATTGCCTTTTATGTTCCGTGGGGAATTGGCTGTGTTCACATGTTTTGTAGTCAGCCCTCAAACTCTGCTAAAGCTGTGGTTGGCACCAGTGTTCTCAAAGTTTATAATGGACAGTAAAACCTTTTCAAACTTTGGCTGTGATTCATTGGTTGTAAAGGTCGTTCCATGGAGCTGTGTTCCTTCTCTGTTAAAACTGCTGTATTTTGACCACTGAGACTTACAGGACTTCAGTATTTGACTTAAGTCACTCCTTTCAAAACTTTACTTTCAGGTTTGAATTTTTTGAATCTTTGGAAGAAGTCAAGAGAAGGACACTGGATGTTGCAGTGAAAAACAGCAGGCCATTCATTTCACAGGAAAAAAAGGAGCTGGGAAAAGTACGTTTAATCAAGTTATGCTACTGGTTTAAATAGAGTTGCAGAGTCTGAGAGAATCCTGTAATCCTGAACTGCAACTCTGGTAGCTAAATCTGAATAATAGAACTAGCAACATGGAAACAACTTTAGTCTGAAATTGGGCTTTATCACCTTGGAATCTCACATGGGCTCATGTAATTGATAGGCAATGCTGCTTCATTTCAAAGGAGCCATCCTGAAATTGAAATGTGTTTCTTGGGATGTCCAGCTGTCTGTCTGGGGATAGGTCCAATAGTGCAAATGTAGAACTGAGAAAAATGTCATTAAAACACAGAATTTGCCAACAGTACATGAATTTTGCTGTGATTAGCAAACATGAATCCTGTGTTCAGTGACAGGTAAATCTCCAAGCAGTGCTGTTAAGAAACTGAGTCTTAGTGTTGATGCTAAATGCCTAAATGCTAAATCCTGGGAATGCGTGAGTTTCATCTCCCTTGAGCCTCACCTGTAGCCTTAGAGCTTGAAAGTTGATGTGGAAGAGTGCTACTTAGCTCATCAACATGTACATCATTTATATATATTTTTCTATATATATACAAATAAAACTTTGTTTTTTAAAGGTGCGGATTGATTTGTCACAGGAGGATTTAATCAAGGGTTTTACACAGTGGTAAGTTTGTTTCATCTTTTAACCTGCTAATAATGGCTTTGCTGAGAGACTGTATGAGTGTTGTTGGGGTGATGGCAGAAAGGCTGTGTCTTTTGGTAAGCAACAATAATGTTTTACCTGCAAGTGCAGGACTAACTGGAATTAATCTGGTAGTTTTATCTAAGCTTTATGTTAATCTGGTTAATAGCATGATATCTATCCTGTGAAACGGTTTTAATAAGAGGCTTCCTCGTCAATTATTCTGTCTTCAGCATATTTTGAATTGCATAAAAACCACTGGGTTACATAAATAAAGAATTATGTTTATTAAAGTAAATTTGCAACAAATGACTTGGATAAAGATCTTAGCTAAATTAATACTCTGATCAGCAATATATATGTATGATAAAAAGCTAATTACAAAGCATTTTTAGAAGCTATTTTAATAAGCCACTCACAGTTCTGCTTGTATGTTCATTATGGTTCAGACGTCAATCTTAAGTACTGGTCTGAGGCAAAGATTAAGAACCATTTCTTTTCTCTCCTTCTCAGTCTCAGGTTAATGGCAGTCGTTCTTCCTTCATCCTTCAGTGAAGGAGGTGGAGGAATGCAGTGAGTGTAGCCCAGCAGCTTCCCAGTAGTGTGGTCAGCAGTGTAGGGAAACCAAGTTCCCCATGCCCAGCTTCTGTGTGTCTCATGGAAGTGTACAGCAATTATGGCAGTAGGAGAAAAATGACTCATCCAGAGTTCCTGGTAAAAGGCTGAAGTTTGAGGCCATCTCCAAAGCCTCCTTTGCCATCCTCCTGCCTACAAAGCACAAGCAATAAAGCAGCCCAAGCTCTCTGTTATGACAGTTTAAACTCTTTAAAGAAAGTCTTAAACTGCTTTCTGTATCTGTCTTGCAGGTATGAGCTGACAAGAAGTAGACGCAAGAAAAACTGATTTCTTCTCATGTACATAAGTTATTAATTTTTAAGCTTTGTATTGACTGTACATATCTCTTTTGTAATTGAAGTGTTTTGAAACATTCACTGCAAACTTGAAGCCATCTGCTGCTCAGGACATGTGCCCTGAATGATCTACTGACACCAGTTCTCAATGAAGTAAAACAAAAAGAAAGGAAACAAAACAACTGTGGGAATAATTTCTCTCTAAAAACAAATCGTTTGTTCTTGATGTTTCTGGTGTGTCTCCTCCCCAAGAATCCTTACATATGAATGCGCTCCTAAGGAAGTGTTGGACCTGGAGATATTTTTAGATTGCCAGCTGTGTGTGATTACTTTGTTCTCCGTTTCATTTCCCTAAGAGCCTATTCATGTTATTTTAACGATATATGAAAGCATTACACTTCTAGAAGAATCAATTTTTAAACAGCATCTTTCATCTGTAAGGCTACAGAACCGACTAAAATAAACTGTAAGACTAATAGCAGTTCTTGAGAAACCAAGAAACTGATATTCTGCTTCTGAAAAGCATCTTAGCAGATTGTGGCTGCAGGTCTGCATATGATGAGATTCCAAAAGCAGGGAGATCAGTTTGCCAGGATGTCATAAAGGTTATAGTTTGTAAAGCCTTAACATGTTTTGTTCTTTGTTACAACATTTCAGCATATCATAAGCCTTGATAGTAAATCATTCTGCCTGAGGAACAGCAGAGTTTTGGACTAAGCTTTATTGGAATGAAATATACCAAAATATTTTTGGAAGCTTGGTGTACCTGTTTGTTTACAATAAACTTTGACATGTCTTGCTTAAGGAACTTTATCTATGCCCTTCTAAAAGTGACAGTAGAATATGAGCGTGGTAAATTCAAATCCCTTCTAGGCAAAAAGCAATAAACCACTTTCTGAAGTGGGCTTAGAATATTTTCAGCCTAGATTACATTAACCCAGTGTATTTAAATCCATAACCAGAAAAAAAAATAAATTCACTGAGCAACAGCACAAAGCAGGAAGCGTGAAATCATGTAGTACTTGAACAGAGGACAGTCCCTAACTCAAATCCCAAACCTAGCTGAGATGTAAACATCATTTTAAAATAGGCTCTCAAGACAACCAAAGTAATAATGGAAGTATTACATCTAAAGGCAGTTTGAGCAATGTCATCTCATACCTGCTGATGAGCAACGTTCAGAAAGGTAAGTGGTTTTGTGGTTTTTGCTTTTGTGCTGGCTTCAGTTTCCTAGATGAACACAGTATGTATTGGTTCTCTCTCCAGGACAGAACAGGTTATTGTGGTTATTTTTCTTGTTTCATGTTCAGTGTAAGAATGCAGAGAACTAAAAGAATGCAGTGGCAAAGCCAAATTTTTATTTATATATCCAAAAGTCTGAAACTGTTCATTAGATAACAGAGATTAGAGGTAGCTGTAATGGCATGTGAATCAACAGGCCACCTCACAGGTTAAGTCTTCCCAGGATTGACCAAACTAACTCTTAACTAGTTATCAACTTCAGCTTTCGTACAGTAGGTAAAATATCATCCAGGTTATTGATCTCTGAAACAGAATGAAAAGCAAATTTGTATGAGATGTATATAGAACACCTCTAAGTCCAACCAAAATTCTAGATTAAATGTTAAAATACAGAGAATAGAAATGTTAGAAATGTCAGCAAAAAACTACTGCAGAGAATAAATTCCTCAAAGCTTTTAATGCTTTTGGGGGAAGAAAAAAGTTATTTTAGCTTATAAGTCTTATGGTTGAATGTAACTGACCCTATTTTTAATGAAGACCTAGTTATTTCAGACACTTTCTTAAAAGAGGAGAGCAAGGCAAAGCACCTTTTCTCACACTTCCCTTATGTTTTTTTGCACACCAGGAGTAAACAAAGTGTGTTAGCTATTTAAAGTCCTGGCAGGGAACTTTGTCATGAAGATAATTACAACTTGCAAATGCTACTCACCTAGAAGAGAGAGCAAATCTTGAATGAGAGCTTGAAACGGTGGAAAGAAGCATTCGTGTTCTTCTAGCTTATTGATGATACTGAAATTTGTAAGTAAGACCATTATCTCAAAAATGTAAGAACATATTAAGTTCATTTTCTTGTCTGTTTTGCCATACAGTGTCACTGCTTTCTGAAAATACCATTACTTATTATATACAAATGCATAGAATACCTACACCAAAAATGCATCTTCACATTCTGAAACCTGCAGCCAACAACTGTTAAAAGTCAAAAGATTATCTCTAATTTCACTGTTTCTGCCCAGTATACATTCTTCTATTCCTACTTGTATCACGTCATGCAATTTTTGGACTGGAGCAGCAGCCTATATATATATATATGCTAAATATATCAGCCACCCCAGGCAGTATAACTGCTGCAGAGGTGGAGGCAAGAATATTATATGCAGCTTGTCTATAGTTAAAGCTGTAAGGAGCACAGAAAGGTTGATGGTGTCGGTGTTGTTAACTTTGCCTGTTAAAATTTACTGCTGCAGTTAGTATCTTTGTATGTTTGTACAGCACATTCTGAATGCAAGCTCTTACAGCTTGCTATCACCTCTATGTTCTCATCACTTGATAATAAGATTTGTCCAGCACCCAAAAGATTTCTAGGAAGCCTGAGGTGTACATTCTCTCAGTAACTAATACATTTCAATATTGCAACCTTAAAGTAATTTCATATCCCCACCAACATGCAGCACTTGCTTTGTCTCCTTATGAAACATAAGCTTAAGAGGCTTTTTTGATCACTGTATCCATGAAAATCAACAAGCTAATGCTAAGGGAACCTTAATTTTTTTTTTTATTTACCACCAGTACCCTTTTGAAAGTGTTCAAGATTTGTTCCATGTAGGTTAGTAGTCAATCCTTTACTGTCACAGCTAGCTGCCTGTGTAGCAAGTGATTAAAATCTCTTCCAGTATCAATCTTATGCAGCTCTTTCAATTCCTAAGGTTCCTGTTTGCAGAATTGTTGCCAGTGGAACAGATCTAAATACCTGTAGATGTCTTGGGTCCCCAGAAGCCTCTGTAGTTGTTCAGTCACATTCTCATTAATTATGTCACACAGTTTCCCAACAGTATCCACCACCACTGTGGGTGGAACTGAACTATCTGGAAAACAAAGACTTCATGCTTCCGGTAAGAATAACAACAGGAAAAGAAGACATAATTCAATTCTTACAAGTGCCCAGAATTTATTCAACTTTCACATATTTAGGCATACAAGTTTTATCATTCACAGAAAACAAAATGCCTGTGTTGAGAAATACACTGATACTACTGGGAGGAAGGAATCTCTCATTAATCCTTCAGTAGCTAAAAACATGACAGAGCTAGATATTTTCTTGACTGAAATGGTACTACAGTCTGTCCTATACTGTCACTGGAAAGCAGTCAACTGCCACTGTATACAGAGATGGTATTCATTGGCTTCCTGTAGCACAACAGAAGTACCTCATAGAGGGAACCTGTTCCCTGATATTTTGTTAGCAGCAAGAACTTGTTCTGTTTGCTTGTTTTAACCTGCTTTGGCTACTGTGATGAAAGGTAAAAAGGTATCAGGTTCTTTGTCCTTTCCTCACTCAGTTTCAGAGGAACTATTTGTGGAGAGGGTAACTGAACTCCTTTGCTTTGTAATTACTAGGGAGATGGGAAGCTTCTTCACCTCCTGTTGTTGGTGGCAGGCAGGAAGTCTGCTTCCCTTTTGAATGAGGCTTCAAAGGCCTCAGTAGTTCAGGAGCCTTTCCCTCTGGCTGTACCCTGCAGCACAGCCAAGCCTCTAAACCCATGAGCTCAGGGAAGATTAGCAGCTGCTGTTCTTCAGAAGTGCAAAACCAGAAGAGAATGAAACTACACAGGCCTCTGACTACTGGTGGCACTTAGTTGTTGACACTGAATAGTTAAAAAATAAGTAGGCCTTTAGGATTGTAAGAGGGAAGTTCTTCAGGACTGGACATACCTCTGAATGAGTTACTAAGGAGAAATCTAGAGCAAAGATTATTTATCTGTTATTCTAAAACAAGTTAAAACAGACAAACAAAAAAACCTTGCGTTTCAAATAGAGTGTGAAATATGATCAGTACGTCAGTGCTCATAAAACAAAGCTTTCCCTTTGGAAATAGCCTGAACAAGTGCTAGGTGATAAGCCTGTACCTAGTTCCAGAAGCTCATGAAGATTTCTCATTGCATTGGTCAGTTCCCCAAGTTTTGTGTACACCTCATTCATTCGTGGGTAAATGCCGTTCAGAGAATTCACATCAAACAACTTCTGGAAGTGAGAGACCATGGCAAACAGTGTTGATAAGGATGGTGTCTGGCTGTTCTGCAGAAAACAGAAAGGGTAACTTTTCTAAATTGTTGCTTAGCAAAGCAAGGATTCTTTTAAACTGTGAGATATTTTTAAAACTAGTCTACAAAGAAAAACAGGTGTAACTTCCATTAGTAAATCAAAGCATTTCAAATATCCTTAAATCTCAAGAGATATATCCAGCAAACCAAAAGTACTCTTATGAAAAAATATTCTTTTGGAAGCTTTGTTTTCTGTTGTTTATTAAGTCTGTTTATGTATTCTGAATGCTGACTGAGAAAAAGATGGAACAGGATAATATCTAGCACTACAGGGCAATGCAAATTCATGGTCAAAAGACCTTCATTAAAGCAGTCTTCCCCAGGGTGAATTTATCCATTATGTGAAAGTAGTCTTGGAGTATTGGATCTTTTCACACAGCTATTTCTTAAACCCCAAAAGGCTTTGAAATGCAGAAGTCAACAGCATGTGAAGAATTACCTTTTCCTTGTTTTCTATTTCGTCTAACACTGTATCTACTATGAACTGAAGGTCTTGAACTCGTATGGATTCCCTGTTATCTTGCGGATCCGTGATGTGCCAAGGCACCAATTCCAGAGACAGTTTTCTCAATGACCTGTGCAAATCCTTTTAAAACAAAGGATACAGGGCTTATTGTAGTAACTGCTTAAATATTCTGTCCATTTAACATTAGGTCAGACAACAAAACTAACACATAAGAACACTCTGCAATGGATAAAGAAGCACTGTGAGATTTTCAACAGACTGAAGGAGGAATA